TTATCAGCACAAGTAGAATGTAGGTACTGCATAAGTGTACCTTACCTTTGATCAGATTATACTCTCATACTACCAACAGGCAGAGATTAAACCAGGGATTTTCACCAAAGTTTCAATATTAGACTTCAATGTAGACTATTTTGTCTACATTGCCATATTTTCATTTAAAACATAGATCACAGTCACACTTAAACACATTTTTCTATAGCCAGCATTGGCTTTTTAGGTTAAAAAAGCCAACAAAACCCAAAAAAATGTTAATGCGTTTACGTTGGGTTTTTTTTTTCTTCCCTTTTTTTCCTAGGGCAGCTTGGACATTGGTTGAGGCAGGATGACATAGCTGAAAGAAGGATGATAAGCAAGAAAAAGAAAGAAACTTTAAAAGGCTTGTTAGAATGAAATGCTTATGCAGAGAGAAAGGAAAAAGGAGAACAAATATAGATGGGGTGGAGGCTATGCTACGCTGAAGCAAGGTCAGAGAGAAACAACAGGAGGAGTTGGCTAGAGAAGTCACACTGGGGGTGAAAGGGGGTTTCACAGTGGTATTTGGGGAAGTTTGCATTTCATATCTCATTCCATTCCAAAGTCCAGAGGTGAGAGAGATTAATGAACTGTCTAAACTGACAGAAAGCTAGAGGAAATAGAGATTATACAGCTTTATCATTTACTCAAAATCCCATGCTTTTAATGGCAAACTGGACCGAACAATCCTACAGAAAGAACTTTCATTTTTACTCACCAGCATGGGCAAACATAGCTGGTGGCCTCCTTTCCCTCCATGCCTGTGAAAGCCAACTTTAAAGACTGCATGCCACTGGCACCGATTTCATGTGACCTTACATTGTCTACATTTTGTTGGGCTAAAATGTAGCCACAAAAGCTGCTGCTGTGACAAAGGGTTACTGCACAGTGGAAAGTTGACAGGAGAAACTGGAAGCTGAGACAGAAGGCTGCTGGAGGTAGCGGTGGGTCGTATCCCAGAAGACCCTCATGGCTGTTATGTTCTGTGGAGGCAGATTAGACTTTTGCTAGAAAGAGAACAGAGCAGGTAGAAGAGCAGAATTAAGGGGGCCATGACTTGTGAAGAAGAGATAGCAACTAGAAGAGGTTAGTCTGGAAAAATCTTGTATGTGGAATAGTTCTGATGTAAGTGTTTAGGCTACTGAGCAGTGTTCAAGTAACTGGGCATTTGATTAACCTTTCCTCTGAAGTCTATATAACTAAAAAGGGGAAAAGATGTTAAAGTCGGATGTGGACTTTGGTGCCCAGTTGTGTCACTGGGAGCATTCTCTAGCTTACTTTGAAACTCCAGTTTCTTTCCTGCTTGAGTTTATTTTGGTTCTTTTATCTTGTTCAAGTCCCTTGATAACACTAAATGATGTTAAAATCTGACTTGAAAAAAGATTCAGTTTCTAAGTTTGCTTGCTACAATTAACTATTAATAGGGATTAGTCAAACTACTGTAATACTAATATAATACTGTAAATTTTCTCGCAGTGGAAAACTAATGCTCAGTTATTCCCCATTCATTTTCTCTAAATTAAACATTCACTATGCTAAAACATCCTGTACATAGGAGATGTCAATTTACAGTTAAATATAATTTGATTACCAAATGAATTCATTTTCTGCTAATACACTTTCAAGATGAAATGGTACCAGAAAATCTGGTAAAGACCTAGCAGTTACAGTCAAGCCCTCTGTCAGTAGAAAATTAGTGAAGACCATAACTATCTTCAGATTTGATGGACAACTAACAGGTATTCAGGCCTTAAAGAAACTCCTCTTGATTTTAATAGAATTAGGACTTAATCCTCCTATTTAGCAAAGGATGTAAAAATAAAATATTGCAAATTAACTGTCACACTTGTCCAACCTGATCAAAAAAAGTCAGTTGCTTTCCCCCCGCTGCTTGCTTTTTATTTGGGAGTTAAGGTTGGAAACAGTGACTTTAATGGTCTGCGTTATTTTTGGGGTGAAGCGAGAGAGAAGGAAGAACTATGGCAGATTAATGAAGCCATGTGAAATGAACATGAAACTGTCCTCTTCGGCAAGTCTGTTTGCAATGTGGAAGTTGTTGGCTGCATGACCTTGGGCAAGTGAAAACATGTGGTAGACTTATGCTTCATGCCATGGTTTGCCCATCACAGTAGTGACAATGGTAATGATGCCTTTGAAATGAGATGCTGTAACAATAGAGTAGTATATAGTAGCTAGAAATTATTTGAAGACCAAGAATTATAGGCTCATAGTCCAAGAAGCTGAACTGCAAATGTTTAATGCTGATTGTTTTGAGTTGCTAACTCCTGTTTCTGCTGAAATCAAGGCACATGAGAGCCTGCCATGGCAGCATGGCTATTGCTCATATATTCACTCCACACTTTAGAAAACCATTCAAAATATGGAATTACTTGCATGCATCACAGATTAATTTCTTATGATAAATAAACAACCTTTGGAATTCATTTTTTCCTGACTGTATGGAAGCAATTAGAACACACAATGTACTCTGAGGAAAACTTCTATAATACTGTGCATACCTTATAATAAACACTATATAAAAATAATACTAGAATTCCAAGAAGTTCCAACATTCCTATCTAACTGATGTTAAAGTTAATTGAGTAACTTAACTGCAGTAAACACACCACAACATGGTAGGTACAGGGGTGCATAAAAACACTGAACAGTTGTTATTGTTGCAATAACAAACAAACAGAGTATGTTAAGAATTCAGATCTGACATAAGAATGGCTAATGCAACAAAAAGCTAGATCTGGTAGGCTCAAATATAACCATGGAGAACAGCTGAGCATAGCAAAACCACATAATATCTAGCTTTTCAGGTCTACACTTAAAAAAATCAAAAGCTTTGCGCTCAGACACTGACTCAAGAGCAGTGCTACTTTAATTTTTTGCTGCTATAAAGCGGAAATTTTAAGAAAGCTGTCTTTAGAAAAAAGTGAACTATAATTACACCAATTGAAACTATGCTTGGTAGGAATATTTCTTGGCATTGCATCTTAGCATATGGAGGAAGGTAGGTTTTTAATGCAGCCATTTTGTTTGTGTAACATTCAGGACAAACTCTGAACCATCTATGTGTCTTCCATGCAGACAGGAGGCTATATTAGGAAGTCAACTGCACTGTCAATAAGTCATGTAGCACAATGGGGTATTCAGCTATTTCAAAGAAGAAAAGGCTGCCGCCACGTTATGCTGATTTCTTCCTAAATTTGCACATCTCTCCTAAATGTATGCTATGAATATGTACTCACAGACACTTCTGCTTTAAGTTTCTTAAAGCCTGATGCTGTAATAAGACTGTGTAGCCAAACACCCAAGTTTCTGTCTAAGGAGGTGTTTCGATGTGCTAAAATAGAAGCATACATGCATTTCCACCATACGTAGTGAGAACAGTCACACTTAAGAAATGCTCATATGTTCCTTGCACAACTAGGGTGAATTGGCCTTGAGGAAGAGAGAAAACGTACCTTTTAATACTTCAAGGTAACAGAAAAAAGCCGAGCTACCTCTTCCTCATTTTACAACAATATTAAAACCTCAAGACAAGATGAAGGGTGTCAGCCAGAGTAAAGATGCAGCAGGGGTGTGATGGCTGCCTTTCTGGTTTAGGGCTTCTGAATCAGTTCACAAGTTTTGGAGTATTACAACCCTCACATGTAGATCATCTTCTGTATACTTGAAAGTAATCCTGCTTTAATAATTTGCAAAGGCACAAAAGATGCAGCTACAATTTTATCACAGACGAAAGTGGTTTATTTCTTTATGCACCAGTAACTGTCTAGGTAGCATCAAGCTTTCCACCATATCACTCAGCTTATTATCCTGAGATCGACAGTTCAGACCAGCCCTGAACACTATTTTAGGTATTTTTAGACTATTTAAGGAGGTAAATTGCAGACAGTGCGGAAATTCACTGTGTTCTTCCCTCTGTCCATTGAGCCTTCCACAGAGTTCTTTTATGGGCTGTAGGATGCAGTCTGATAGGGTTTTATTATGTGTGCCTGGCTAAGGAATATGATATGAGGGTCATTGCTGCTCCTCAGCTATCCCCTCCATTCCCTGCCAGTATTTCAACAGAATGGAAAGAGTAGATATCACAAAATGCTTTTCCATCAGAATTAGCTTTACAAGGGATTATTCTGATTTGCAGAAGGCTTCTGGGGAGAGGGAGAGAGACTTGAGAATGGCTTATAAATTTGTATCAAGTACTTAAGTATGAGGGTTTTTTTAGAAAAACTTTTTCTTCAGTATTTCATTCTTATTTTCCAGCAGAAGAAGAAGTTTGGATGCTGCTTCAGTCTGAAACAGGGCTTATTTTAACTATTCAGAAAAAATCACCATGATGAAAGATCCTTGAGGTGCCAACTCCAGCAGCACACCAATCAAGTCACACTAAAAATACTTCAGTAATGGTGAGCTTCTGCTTTTTTCCTCTCAAACCCTGTATTTAACATTGTTCACTTAGGAACATTTCCCGTTTTCCAGTTCCCTCTATTCCACCAGTTCTTTCGAAGATTAGAAAATATCATGCAACTTAACTGCAAAATCCATCTTCACAGGCCACTCTGATTAAACCATCAAGCAATTAATTAAATTTTTCTAATCTGCATGAGGCTCATACATTTTAGTCAGCCAAAGACTGTCTTCTCACAGCTTCGAAGACAGACACTTTAAAACTATTCACCTTTTCCCTGCAGATGAAGCAGAGAGTGTTGGCTTTGAAAGCCGTGTCCGATTAATGGCTCCAGACCTGTATTTACCTTCCACGCTTCCCTATACCACCCTAGCAACCAGAAGTAACTCCGTTTTCCTCTAAGACTTCTACCAGCTTCCTCGTGCCTCTGAGCCTCCCTATCCCCGCTACCCCGGTGCAGAACAAGGTTCCCCGTCACCCCGAAGCCCCAAGCCCAGCTCCAAGCCCCCGCTCGCTACTCATGGAAGAGACCAAGGCTGACCGGACCCTACCTGAGCTTCTCCCCGGCCGGCACAGTCAGCTTGTTGAGCTTGTCCATGCTCCGCGCTACTCCGGCACCCGCCGGGACACGCTGTATCGCCCCAACCCGGCACCTGCCGGCGCGGCCGCCCCCTCTGGCAGGCTCGACTCGGCTTCCTCCTACCGCCGTGCTCGGGCGCGGCGGAAACTTGTCCGATTACTGCCTCGGCGGGGTTAAGCGGCGGCCGCCGTCGTACCGGGCTGCCGAAGCCTCTCCCCGTCCTACCCGCAGGCGCTGATAGAGGAGGGACCCGGGGATCGGGGCGCCCAGGCCAGCCCCTCCCGGCCCCGACGCCCGCCCCCTGTCCGGCGGCGCGCACAGGTGGCTGCAGTACCGGGAGCCAAGGTGGAGTCTTTGGAAATGGGAACGCGAGGCCTCTGCTCCGCTCCTCCCTCTAGACCTGTTGCTGTGCCTTAGGGAAGCGCTGCCTCTGCCTCAGGGAAAGATGTGCCGGCCGCTCGGCTGCCCTGGTGTGCAGCTGGTTGCGTTTAGCTCAGCTTCAGCGGGTTGTGGCCGGGCAGGCTAACCCCCTCCTCGCCGCGCCTCCAGCCCCAGGTGACTCTGCAGGCTGCGGGGGACAATGCAGGCTTCCCTCTCCTACTCGCTCTGCGCTTCCTGGTGAAGATGTGCGACAGGTAGGAACATGCTGCCGTGGGAACTTCTCCCTTCCCAGGGGCTTTCTAGCAAAGCTAGAGAAAACCATCCTGTTACCCCCATCTTTCTGAATATACCTGTAAGAGGAAAAAAGTTTCCTCACCTTTAAACTTTTAAACTTCTAAACTTTAAACCTTTAAACTAAGGCAGGAGTAAACGATGATCCTCCAAGGACACTGGACCAGGCTGTTCTCACCCAAAATATAGGCAGCTGATCTGTGTTTTATGGCTCTGGTATCTCAGTCTTGGGATTTTTTTGCGTATTTTTTTCCTTTTTAAATCATGAGCTTTATAGGCAACTGGTTGATTTTGAGGGGCTGTGTAAGCAGAAAATAATGTTTAGCCTTTATCCTGAAGCGCTGATTAATTTGGATTCTGCACCTTTAGCTGATGAGTCTTGTCACTTTCCTTCTCTATCTTCGGCCTGTCTGTAGCTTAGTTTATAAGCCAAAGTGCTCTAGGCAGGAAACCTATTGTTTTATTTAAGAATGTACATTTGTGTCATGTTAATATATTCTGATAAGTGCAATATGTTTTCAGCACACCCAAAGTTACTTCTTAGGGAGATTCTCATTGCCACTTAGGCTAGATTTTCAGATGCATGTGCTTCCTCCCAAGATTGTACTATTTTTCTTTTTCTTGTGAAATTCTAACAGTAAACCAAACTTTCCTGGTTAGTGCAGATGGCTATGGGGAAACAGCCTGCCACAAGAGTTGTGTCTTTGATAATAGTATTGCTCTGACCTTGGCAGGGCTGACATTTTTGGTGTCTGAGCTTTTAGCATGGAAGTCATTCGATACCTGCATACAGTATTTCTCTAGGGAAATCCCATAGTGAAGAAATGGCCATTTTTGGGGTATCTCATGAAGTTTGTGGGCTTTAAGGAATAATGTAGTTTTGCTTGTATAGTCTTTCTGCTATATCTAAAACACATATCAGAATATGGGATTTGCTCAGAGGGCTCATGCAGTGATTTCTCTTACACAATAACCTCCTGACTGTTGCAGAAATTCCAGACGGCTTCCCTTTGAGATCTTTGGAGGCAGCCTGTCATTTGCACTGCCATGCTGGTTTTGCCTGATTTCTTCCTGACCCAACAGTTCACAGGTTTAGTTTTAATGCTCTGCAGTGCCCAGTGGGGAGGGCTTTCACTCCTGTCTCTGTAGTGCTGTCACTTTGCTGCTCCCAGGAAGGGGCTGCTGCTGGTGCCTCATGCTCAGCGCAGTCCCCAAGTCCCTTGTGCTAAGGGCTTGATTTGATTCAGTGCACAGATGTTTGTTAGGGTGCAGCATGGGGTGGGAGGAATAGGATGTGTGACTGCTTAGACTGGTACTGCTGCCAAGAAGTTACTCCTAAGAAAGTCTCCATTGCATAAGAATTGCTCATGAGAATTTGTGGTACCTGCTGTGGGGCCTGTCCACTGGTCATACTTCAGCCTGCTTGCTTCTGCCATGCACACACATGGCCCAGTGCACAGTCCTGCTTCACTTTAATATCTATAAACAGTTTGTAGGAAAAAAAAACACCAACCCCTATCCTACAACTCCATCAGGGCTTGGTTTTACTTGTCTGGAAAGCAGTACAGGCAAAGGAGGTAAATGCTTGTCCTCACAGCCAAGGCATATCTTGCCTTCCTTTATATTCACACATAGCAAGACACACTGAAAGGGTTTTTTTTTCTTGAGGATAAAAGAGTCCTGGCCTAGAATTAGCAGTTACTAGTAGCAGGGGATGTGGCCTAGGCAGTCTCTCTTTACTCATTCAGAACATGGGCAAAGAATAAATTAGGCCCTTTCCCCCCAAAGAGCATATACAGGACCCAGTGTCCCACAGTTATCTTAAACGCAAGGCATCTGAGAGAGTAATTTCTCGTGGCTGCCTTGGAATATGATGTTCCTAGGAAACCAATGGAGAGTCAAGTGCAGGCAAAGTCCTGAAATTAAGAGAAGGAAGCCATTGTCCCCCAAATGCCAAACAAAGCCCCTCTAGTTACAGTGAAATTCCTCTTTTTCCCCATTTAAAATATGTATGTGCATCAAAACCATCCAGATCTAATTTGGATCTAAGTGTAACCTCACCAGAAAATTACTCAGATACAAATTACATTTGGATCTGAGTGTAGCCTCACTAGAACATTACTACAGCCTGCTTAGCTCTTTCTGGTCTGCCACCAAATCAGTCTATCTGACCATCTGCCATAGTGTTGAGAAAACTTGGATCAACAAGATTGGAAAACCACTAGAGAAAAACCTTACATAAAAAGAACATGTCCAAGCCCCTCCACACAGCCCTCTGCCTCTTCTTCTGCCCAGATGGTGGTTTCAGAGTCCAAACTTCTGGTCCTGCCTGTGGTTTTTATATAGTCTGTACTGAGAGGAACAAGCCACCACATGCAGCTGGCAAGAAGGGCCCTGCAGACCTGCACCAGAGATGGGACAGGTGAGTGGCAGCAGTTCCTCCATCCCTCCAGCGTTACTCATCACCCCAAAACGGTGCCTCAGGAGATCCTGTGAGGTAGGGTCTTACTAATCCCCTCTTGGGGAAATACCCTGTCTTCCTCTTCAGGAACCCTGGGAGCGTGGAGGCAGTGGCAGGTTTGAGCCATGCAGCAGACATAATGTCATGCTATTTTTGTAATTGCTGCCTCAGCAACTGTCCCTCTTTGACCTAATATGTTTGTTTGGAAAATGCCAAAGAGGAACTGGGATTTGTTTTACCGTGTGAGTGACATCTTGACCATAGTGATGGTTAACGCAAAAACCTTCTCCCCAGCCACGGGAGCTGGTCTTGGTAGAGGGGACCTGTTTTGAGGAATGCCTGCGCCACCTCCATGGTCCCTGGCACATCTGGGGCCAATGGGGCCAGTGTGAAACACAATGGTCACTGGCTGGCAAATGCTGCTGCCCACTGAGACATGGCCTGGCAGCCTGAACCAGCCTGAGGGACATGTCCCAGGGGTGTGGGGCATGCTGGTGTCCTGGGAGAATATATCTTGATGTCTTAAATAAGGTGTTTTGCAGATGTGCTCCTACCTGGGAAGATCACTTGGAAGACCACTCTGCAGTGGTCTTCTGGAGCATCATCATTCAAGCCCTTTACCTAACTGGTGTTTTCTTATCTAATGTTTTAAGAACCACATTCACACAGACTGCTGGTTTTGTGATAGCCACCGAGTTTGTTTTCCTGTATACGCCTACAGGAGATACAGGATAAATTCCTGCTGCCATTACCTTTCACAGGTAATGCAGGATTTGCCAGTAAATTCCCTTGGCAGGATGGTTATCAGAACATGCATGCTTTCTTATTTTTCTTTTTGATGCTCAAAATGTCATTGGAATTTTGGAAAAGCCTTCTAAATGCTTGGACAGATTTCCTAAATGCCACTGACTGTTGTAACATTATTTCCTCATCACCGCAAGTGTTGTGGCTTAGTCTGGGTTTGTCTCTCTGATCCTCAACCAGTATGACTGTAATTCTCTATTTATTCTCATAAATAAAAAAGATTTTTAAAAGCAACTTTTATGTTGTATGTTCAGAAACTATAATTATTTTTTAACCCCCTGTGCTATTTTCTGCTGTTTACTTCCCACTGGATCATTCCTTGTACATGCTGCCTCACTCTGGTGGCATGTTCCGTTTTCTATTTAAGAGCTGTGAGGTCATCGAGGCATGGTCAAAGCAAAACTGGGTGGAACAAACTCTGTCCAAGACAGTGAGTATTGTACCTTCATTTGGTCAAAATTTGCTGTGAATTCCCAGATATTTCCTGTTTATTCAGGGCTCCAGTTTTCTGTACCCTGTTGTTAAGATAATTTATAGCTTGACTTTCCATCTCTAAGTAGACCAAAAACTCCTGTAGCACAGAAACAAGGGATCGGAAGACTTGTCTGAAACATTTTGGTCATTGGTAAGTGTTGTACCTAGATCAGAACATGCATCTTCATACAGAGCAAACTGTTGTAGAGAAATCTTTAGGCAAAATCCAGAGTTTGATATGGCTGGTGGTTTCTCCTGGCTGAAGGTTTCTCCCTTGACACTTTTTATGACTTCTTTTTGTGATTTCCACTAAAATTAATGCTCTCTAGTTTAATAGCTTCCAGTACATGGCTTGTATGATCATTTTAGGTTTGTCAGGGATTCCTGCTCAATATTCGTATTACAGTGTTAATATATCAGATATCAGCTGTGCGTATCTTTATTTTAAATTCATAAGATTTGAATAACACCTTTTTATGGAGACTGTTCATGCCATTGTCTTAATTTGGATTACAGATTGTGACTATGTTAAATCTAGGGAACCTAAGGGCCTGTTTAAAAACTCTTTTGGAGTTCCTGATCTGGGTTGGCAGCCGAAGCCACATCCTGACTGCAAAGCAGGGTGAGGCTCAGTGATGCAACCGCATTTGCCCATAGTTTCTTCTGCATGACAAGAAACTCTAGGAATGTGTTCCAGGCAGGAGCTGTGGCACACAGGACAGATGGGCAGTCAAGCTGCAGGAATGAGTGTGAAAAGTCCAAGCCAGTGCACAGGTACAGCCTTGGCTCTCAGTTGCCCTTTCTGAACTTCTAGGATTTCACATAATTGAAATAAAAAGCAGATATTTGTAAACTATATCATGTGGCATAAAAATTTAACAATGAGAAGGTGAATAAAAGAAATTTTGCAGATTTCTGCAATAGATTAGTTTAAAATATCAGTTTACACTAAATCTTTTTAATGTTTATTTTTAATGCTTTGAGGAGACAGTGCTGCATCAGATGATCTCACTGAACTATGCATGACTATTTCAAGAAGCTATTTTTTACAGAATACATTAATGCTCATAGATTCAGTCTAGTGCATTCAATGTATATAAAACAGCTGAGAAACATGGTTTGAAGTAAGCAATTGCTTTGATAATGAGGTTTCAATAAGACTTACTTTTTCTCTCAGTCATGCTAGAAAACGTTTCTTAACCCCTTCTCCATTAGCAAAAAATGTCTCCAACATTAATAGAGAGGATTGTGCCAAAAGTTTTTTCTTAGAACTACTCAGAAGGCAAGGATGCAACTGTTCTGCATAGGAAAGAATTCTTCAAGTGGATTTTATGTACAACCTCTCTTGCCAAGTGGTTAGCGTATCTTTTCATTTTGACATCCCCACTTCTGGGGAGTGTGGGGAACCACAGGATGTTGCAGGTTTTACTCTATGAGACAGCTTTGTGAGCTTTTGCTTGGCTTTTCCTTGAAGAAAAAAGGGCAGCAATGTAGGCTTTCCTGAGCATATGCAAAACGATTGAAAATTCACTTCAAAATATCTGTCTGATTTTACTTGAGGTCTTAGTATTTCATCTCGATCAGAGGTCCTTCTCCCTGCCTATATCTACATGCTGTCTTAAATCTCTCTCAGCCTCTGATAATTGCTTCTATTTATTCTCTATTTAAAGGATTTCTATTTAAAATTTGTGTCTACTGCTTGAGCTCTGACTTCATGCTACTACTGGGATAGCACTAAAGGTGAGAACTCCAACCTTGGAAGCAGTGTAATGTGAAGGTAAATGTAGTTGGTCAGTAACAGGAATTTGGCTTGATCAGTCTGTGTTCACATGAAAGTCAGTAAATGATTGCTACAGTTCTGGTTTTTGAGGCTATGGAAATGTAGTGAAAATAGCCCAAATGGATACCACCCACATCTAAATTGGAAAACAGCCCAAATTCATACCACTTGAATCTGAACTGTAACCATGTTGGAGGCATGAATTTTTCCTAAAACCTGCTATTTTAAAGTATTTTGTATGTATTTGATCTCTTCTGCTTTCAGAATGTCTGTAGGAAGACATGCCAGCAATATGCTGTGCAGATGAAGAGCAGAGGGGAAATGGAGAGTTAGCAGTAGACTGTCACATGTTGCTCGGGAGGATTTTGTGCTTGATCATATGGGTCTGAATGCAAATTTGCAGGCCAAAAGAGCACTCAAAACTATTGTTTAAAACTATGCCAATTTAGACATAGTTTTGTTTCCCCTTGATTTCTATTTTGGCTGATAACACTGCCTACTTAACTTACCATTCAGCATCCCATGGCTGCTATTCAGAAACCATGAGGTTATGGAACATGATTTGTCAAGACATTATCTCTATTTACTACTTACGAATGGCTGTAAACAGGGGAACACTGCTGCTTCATGTTTAATATATTGCATCTCTGTTTTTTCCAAGCATTGCTCTCAGACTCTCATTAACTAGTCTATTTAAATGGATTTTTTTCAATTTCAGGATGCATAGAAGCTATTTTAAACTAGAAAACACTACTTTTACAGGAAAAATTACATGCGGGCATTTATGTGTGTCTTAGCAGATGAGAGGGAGGTACTTCTCTGTCCTAAGTACTTTTAAATAATACTAATTTTCAGTTTTAGTCTCCTCACTGTGAGTCAAATGGTTCACTGCCACAGTATTAATTTTGGAAGTTTCCTAGCAACTGCCCTAGAACTCTTAAAGCCTTAATCTGTTATCACTTTGGACACTAAATGGCATGTTAAAAGTTTTTCATATAGCACTAGCAGTAGGAGATGCATTTGAAAATTCAATTCAATTGTTAGGGATTTAGGTTTGTCTGTAGTCTTACTGGAGGAAACAGGCTGTATGTGTAGGCATGTACTGTGGGGTAGGCAAAGATGTGAAAACAGTGAATTTAACAGGATTTTCTCATGAAGGGGCTTCTGAGCAAATTCATTTTAACACCTGCTGAGAAAATGTGTTTTATTTCTCTGGGGACAAACCCACTGTGTAAAAAGCTGCACTTCTGCTTTTCGATTTTACAGTCATCTGTTCCACATGCACACAGAAACACAAAATTTGCTCTTTCAGACAGATTAATTATTTAATGTTAAACTGAAAGTGTTTGAGGTCAGATTGCCTTGGAGGCAATGACCTGTGTTGGTGCCAGCCAACAGCTACAGTGAATCTGAAGAATGGTGCTGATGCTCAGTCTACAAATAGCCCCTTCCAGCAATCAGGAGTGACTGGAATGAACATACTTGTAGCTGGCCAGGTTTAATCTAGCTCTGATCCTTACCATAGCAGGCAGGTGTAGGGGCACAGGCTTTTTTTCAGACTGGCAAGCCTCTCTTGTTTCTGACTTTTCTCCAGGACTTGTATACCCTGCTCTCCTGCCTCCTGCTGCAACTGGATTAAACCTTGGACAAATTTGTTTTTCCCTCTGTCCTCCTGTTTGGGGTGTGGATTTACCGTGGAGAGTACCCAAGGAGCCTTAGTGGGAGTGTTTAGCAGAGTGGGTTATTTAGCCCTGGCACTGAGAATGAGACTTGCATGGGGCAGAGGAGCACTGGGAAGAAGTGTTTTGTGTCCCTCTTTTCTGCATGTGAAAACTGAGCATCAGTCAAAATTTAGACACTGATAGTGAATGGTCTAAATATGATTTTGTCCCTCATAAAATCACTGTGTATACACTCACACAAACAAAAGATTGTAGAATGTTTTCAAACTTAAAATGAAAGGGATATTTTAAAATGAGGTTACTTCTGTATAGTGCTGATACTGTTTAGACATATCGTGATGTCTTCAGTACTTGGAAAATGCTGAAAACCCAATAGTTTTTAAACCCCTTCTTTCCTGTCTTGCACTGGCCTGTAATACGCAGAGCCAAGATGCAGTACATACAGCCAAGTTGTATGTATGTATGTATGTGTTGGTGCATCTTTTGTCTGGTACAATTTGGTAATCTGCACTGCTTCACTGACCACAATAATTGCTGTCTGAGCATTTTCCTGTTGCCGCTTAGGAACAGGAAAAAATACTTTTGTCTGTAGTCTTTTTTGTTTTCATATGTTTCCATCTTCTAAAGACTGCTCTCCTGTTTCTTGGATAACTGGAATTGCCTACCACTATGTTCTGGGAACAGAAATATCGCCAAAGTCCTTCTCACCCACAAGTATAGTGCATTTGAAATACCACCTTGAAAAAAAGACAGTGAAGTGATCAAGGAGATGGGGGACTTTCTAAATAGAGAAATTATCATCTTATTAATTAAGTAGCAAACTACTATTTGAAATAATAAGATAACATTTCATGACCAAAGATAAAGAGTTTCATGGAATACTCTGTGGAGAAAAATTACTCAGATTTGTAACTATAGCCATGATTTTTTCTGTTGTCTAACACTGCAAATTTTTTGAATTGTTGCAAAGAATATATTTACACAGTTGGTAACTTTAATTGCATGAAACCAACAAAACTGTAGCTGATGAATAGGAGTGTCATGATATATTAGTGGATTATTATTTTTATATGTACTATTTCAAAGCATTTATTGCTTTGTGATCATAAAAGCCTGTGTCTTTCTACTCCCAGAATATGTTGAAAAAAAATCTACATTTAGTATCAAACACTGGGTTTCAGAATAACTATTTCTACTTTTTTTGTCATCCCTTCAGATTTATAATATAGAGGGAACTAGGGGAGAAGTGAAAGTAGAAGGAAAATTTGATAGAAATCTACATAGAAAGAAATGCATATATGTAAATTTGAATATTTATTGTATTGCAGTAGTACATAGCAGTCTGCTTTATAAAGTGTTATCCCTTTTCATTGTACATTGCTATAATAAAGAACAAGAAGAAGGTCACTGCACTGAGGAAATCACAATCTAAAATGTTTGGGATTAGAGAAAGTTTTTGATGGTTAGTTTAGAAATGATATGCATAGATGATAGTTTTATGAGATTTTAATTTCTGAAAGCTAGTAGATTTTTGCCAGCATCTACAGGATGGACTTGGACTTGGGTACTTAAACCTTCTCTGTGTCGCAGAGATCTGCCTGGGGTTCTGATTGCTTTCAAGCTTAAGCCTTTCTCGAGCTTGGTTAACTTTCATAATTGTGTTCACAGGAGAATTTCCCCTTTTATGAAAAAGACTCCTCAAAGTATCATGAGCCTCTAAAGAAATTAGAGATTGCTATTATTATTCTTATTCCTGGTGGAACTGACACCACCAACCCATTCCTGAATCAGAGTTCACAGAGCAAATTTATTAAGAGTGGTGCATTGGAGTGTTTTACCAGCTCAGCAAGTGATGTACTCTTCACACGTCTGCAGGTGGAGGCACCCACTCACACCCATTTGCTTGCCTTTATCTTCTTTAAGGCACCTGATGCAGGCTAGTGTTACAAATGTCACATGAATTAGACCTTTGATCTGACCCAGGCTTGCTTTACTTTAAGCCACCCAATACTCTATAATATTGGAATAGAAAAAAATGCCATAATAAAGAAGCAAAATTTTGAGCTTAGTGTAAAAAAAAAAAATAAAATAAATGCTCAGGTATCTGCTGGAGCTATGCCATGGGGCTGAGTTTCAAAACATTCTTGATGCATTTGTTGTGAATGAGCAGTACTTCAAATCTACACAGAAAGTGGGGCTTTCCCAGAAACTGGTGTTCTATCCTGTAGACTCTGCAAGATACATTGTAGGTATAGATATATACTGATATGTTGGTTTTTATTTAGGCTGGTTCTGGACCATTTGCATCTTTAATCCTGAAGAATCTATTCCCATTATTCATTGTGATTAACAGAGGATATGATACCGTATTCACTTTGATGATGGTAGAGAAGTGTTGCTGGAAAGACATAATCTGTAAGGCTCTTTCTTGTCTGTGATCTGAATTAGCTATACTTGCTATTTATTTGTCAGTGTTTTCTTAGAGCTGCCTGGTGATGGAGGTATATCACACATGCTTAGTGCTGCTTTTGGTTACAAGCCAAAATTGTTGAAATTTTGGTTTTATCTGTAATTTTCAGTAAATCCCTGGAAAAATATTACATAGTAGAGGATACCTGTAATACTGTACATGTGAATTACATTTCTATTTCTTTAAAAAGAGAAAATAATGACAGGTAATATTTGCCTTTGAAATTTTTTACAGGGTATATTTAAATCTGTTTGTGGGCTACATGTGGACAGAAAACACCTAGTTGTGAATAATGTCTAAAACATTGTTTGTGCCAGTGATACAAAAGGAATATAGGTGGTAGTTCATGCTGACATTTCAAGCAATACAAACAGTCCTTTCCTGTCTGTCATCTTGAACTCTAATATTTATTCATTAAAGTAAGAGCATGTGTATGTATGCCTTATATTCCTGTGTATTTCTTCAGAATATTATTGCTTCAGCCCGCAGAATGAGATAAGGAAGATATACACTGATAAAGGTAATTAATTATATCAGCCAGATCAGCGATTTAGAAAAGGATCTGATTACTTTTATGAAATGTATCATAAGGCAAATGAACTGAAATGGTAATGTATTTTTAAGTTATTGTCTGTATTCTGAGAGCTCCGTAAAATAATAAGCCATGAAACTGAGCAGTGAGGAACTAAATAGGAGAAATGACAGAGCTGTGGTAGCAGGTGTCTGGGGAAACTGAAGTGCCAGAATTGTGAAGAAGAAACTGAGACTTCATGCTCTGTCAAGGATGTCATTGGAGGGTACCTAAAATATGCAAAGGCAGTGGGTGGAAGACAATGGAAAACAGGAGAACCAGTATAAGAACTGTAAAATACATAAACTTTTTTTCCCCTCAGAACTCTTGACTCTTGGGAACAGAAGGAGAATGTCAGGCATGAGTTGTGGAAGAGTAAAATAAACTATTATTTAAAACAGACCAGGCAATACTGTTCCATCAGAATTTTTAGCTGCAGTCTCAGCCCCGACCAAGACAGATTTGGCCAGGAGGCTGAACAGCCTCCCTACTCTGGAGAATGCCCTTTCATCCCTCTGTATGAAGAGAGGGACTCTTCATAAGGGACTGTAGCAATAGGAAAGGGATAATGGATTCAATCTTAAACAGGGAAGCTCAGGTTAGATATAAGGAAGAAGTTCTTTACTGTGAGGGTGGTGAGGCACTGGAATGGGTTGCCCAAAGAACTGGTAAATGCTCCATCCCTGGAAGTGTTCAAGGCCAGGTTGGAAGGAGTCTCGGGTGACCTGGTCTATTGTGAGGTGTCCCTGCCCATGGGTGAGTGGTTGGAACTAGATGATCTTAAGGTCCTTTCCAACCTTAACTATTCTATGATTCTATGATTTATTTGCATACTTAATGCAATGTCTGCATTTGTTTAGGCCAAGTCTTTGAGATGCATTTTTTTTTCCATATTTATGAATTCTATAGGTTGTCACCTGTAGCTATACAGGCTGTTGGGTTTCAGGTCTTGAATTCTGTTGCACAAAGGGATGCTGTGGCATTCCTACCAACTGTACTTCATCTTTTGCCAGGCCAGCTGTGCTGAGCAGCCTCTCCTGAAGCTGTTTCAAGTAGCTGGTTGTTACAGCACCAACTGTCTGGCTTGCAGCTGCAACAGGCCTCCCTGCCACAGTCCCTTAACTTCTTGCAGCTCAGCTTCTCTACCATCCTTGCCTAGCTGACCCCATTTTTAAGCACTGCAGTTTTCATGGCTGAGTATCTTACCTTGACCATTTACCTGTTTTCTTATCATTTCTGAATTAAAGAAAGTCTGAATGAAAGGGTTTAATACTTTCCTTCATTATCTTAGAAATACTGCATCTGCCATCACAGCACAAATGTATGAACTAATGAATGAAGTTCTGCATGCTTATATGAAAGTAAAATAAGGTTATGTTTTTCACTCATTTTTACAGAGGCTAGTCTAAAGTGAGAAGAATGAAATGTCTCTCCTGCAGAGAACATTAATGTGTGTCGACAACATGCTCTAAATTAAATATTGTATTCCTTTAAAAAACTGAGAGGACTCCAGTTTGGAGATTTGGAACAAAATGAGCCAGGACATTTGCTCTGTTTTGTGCCCAGTATGTACCTGAGCTGGGGCATATATGGAATTCTGCTAAAATGAGATTATAAATTAATAGTCTTTCACACTTCATTGCTTGAATGAGCCAGAAGTTATTTTCTTCTGAGTTGGAGTCCCAGGTGCAGCTCTTTCCAACTACCAAATATGATTTTCTAAAAGGGAAGAAAGACCAGTGAATTGAAACTACAACAACCTCTTCTCTGTGGTCTCAGTACAGCCATGTAATAAAGAAAAGGAAAGCACATCAACTGACAGGGTGAAAGAAGAAGATTCTGTCCATATATACAATGATGGTGATGAACCAGTTTGGGCTACAGCTTCCATTTCTGGTTCTCCTTCTGGCTTTGTGCACAAACTTCAGCTGGTCTGTGATTTAAAAAGATGACTTGTTTCTATTTTTTTTTTTTTTGGTACCAACTTGAGATGCTGTGCAACTCCTATTACTATTTAGGCTGGTCTAGAGTCATACTAACAAAGATAAATATTTCTACTTTCACTAAAACTTAATGAGGTGAAGCTATTGCAGACCTGGCTCTCTCTACAGATGGATCAGCCCATGCTTTTTTTCTCAGAGGCTGATCTACTCTTTCTCTTCAAAGAGTTAAAAGACATCTAGTATTATTTAACAGTAGTTTGTTACACTTATCAAAAGTGTCAGTGATTTATCTTGCTTAACATTTCTAAAAATGAGCATAGTGTTTCCAATATCAAAGAAACACTTCTATAATTATACTGTTAACTCACCCCCAAGTGCCATTCTGTAGATGCCTAAGCATAGTAGGGTACCATGAAAGAAAACTGGGCAAGACTGAATAATCTGAAAATTTTCTAGTTTAGAAGTTGTTCTGAACAGGCTCTATAACAGAGTGTGGTGGAATATCCTGGGGCTGAAGAAGAGGAGGAGGCTCTGGAGGTGGTTCAGGCTTGTATTGATTTATATTTTATATATACAGACATAAGCCAGTTAAAACTGCAAACTCTGTGTGCCTCTCTGTGTTTTCCTTACTGGGATAGTGAGGGTAGGGAAGATACTCAGACAACTTGGAAACTGGTTTCCATCACAGGTGTTGGTAAGAAAAATAGGGATTTCTTCTGATATCTTCATATCCTATCAGTTCTCTTTTGACATCTGGATAATATCGATTGGTATTTTACTGTTTGAGAGCAGGATTATATTCAGTAAGAAAAGATGGGAGAAAGGACAAAATTATTTTATTTTATTGGAGTTTGTGGGTGTAATATTCATTAAAATGGAAAAAAACCTCCAACTCTGACAATGTATCTGTAACCCTGAGTTGCCCTTCAGCTGAACATGTTGCTAGCTTGAATAGCTTCTATATTGGGTTTGCTTTTCATCCCACCTAGAACGCCATTAATGTAACTCCACCCTGCATCTCCATGTCGAGTTTTGAATGATAGTTTGTTTGAAAATGCCTTCTGTGTGGTTGCAGTTGTAGGAGAATATGATGTACAGAAATAGTTTCTACTTTGTACTATTTTCTTTATGTGTTATTGTTGATAAAAAGCAATGCATAAAATACAAATTCACTGTTTCTCTATGGAATTGTATTAAAGGTTATTTGACTTAAATAGTGGACAGCATATTTTGCCAAAATAGAATATAATACATTTTGGGCAAATCCCAAAAATATGACAAAGCTTGATAAAATTGTATTCCCTTAGTACTAAGAAATGCCCAGTTACAGATTTATAGTATTGGAATGTGTCTGTCTGTATTCACCTGACTAGGTAGTTTTTTTGACACGGAGCTGAGATGGGAGAAGTGCTATGATAAAACTGTGGTCTCAGGTTCAGATCCACGTGGTGTATGGTAGTGCCACAAGGCATCTAAAGCTGTGATCTTTCCATTCTTTCATTGTTAAGCTTTCACAAAACATTTCAATATAGAATACCAGTTTGGCCTGGCTTTAGATCCAAGATAGCATGGTGAACAGTTACAAGAGCAGAAGTGAGCTTCCTAAAAGGTCTTGGAACACAGTATGCTCCTGAGCTGTGAGGGATTTTCCTCCTCAAGTAACTGGTGTAATTGCAAAAGTCTCAATTGCTTATGGCAGAAGGAAATAAAACTGCCATAATGCAAGTGTCTGTTGCCCTCTTTCTGCTGCAGGGGTGTAATAATCTGTTGCCGTAAAAGAAAGCAAGATGGTGCTGCTTTGCTGAGCAAATATTTCCTAGGTCCTCCTGTAAACAGGAGACTATCCAGAATTAATTCTAATCAGCAGGCAGTGGCTGCCTCTAAATGTTTGATGCCTGAGTAGACTTTTGTTATAGCCTTTCTATGCTAAAAATGAGTATATAATATATAAAATATTATTTAAAGTCAAATGCAGGTTGGTGGGTTTCCTTTTTCATCCTTTGGAGTGTATATAACTACCAAGGAAGTGCCCTGTATTATGTTTTTATGACACTAGAGTGCTTATGTACTGGAAACCTCTTCAGATCTCTTTTAGGTTTGGGTCATCGCTGTGTGAAGAGGTATCTATCTTTTGAATTTGCAGCCCTGGCCTTTTCCAGTTTTCGGAATAAGTGGAGGTTTTTAAAATGACATTTAAGCTACAGCAAAAACTAAGGAAAGCAAGGAACTAAATCTACACACTTAGGCATAAAACTTTCAACCTGATTCAGCACTGGTATTTGAAGGATATAGGGTAATTAAAAATCCATTATAGTATATCCCAAGGAGAGGGGAAAACCATTCCTGCTTACTAAGTGTTGGGATAGCAGTCATCTATCACCTTTGCTTTTTCAGCTTGGAGCTTTCTCTGGAGTGGGACAAGTCCAAATGCAAATTGTGACAAGATTTCTGTACTGCTGTACTTGCTTAAAGAGACAGTAAAAGCTCTTTCTCTTTATTGTTTCTTAAGGAAACAGTGTAATTCTCATAGAAATCTCATTGGGTTTATTATTTTTTTTATTAGGATTTGTCTTTGGTTGAAATAAAAATGCAGGAGCAGGAAATCAAAATATTTCTAAGTGAAACTGAAAGTAGAATGTTGCACACCCTGCATTTATTAGCTAAGAATAAATTTAATAATAATGACTATGTAATCTCCCCTCCAAACAGGATTAGAAATTTTCTACATATGCAATTTGAATGTCATTGTAGCCTGTTAGAATTCTACCGATTTATTTCTTGACTCCACTTTTATTTTATTCTTAATTTTAATTATTGTCATCCTGTTTATGCCTTTAATTATCCTAGCCTTTTAATAAGAATTAAAAACGTAACAGCAGAAAATGCATTATGCATGCAAGTGTTTGAGACAAAGCTTATTGCTTGAAGCACAGACAGTGAGTTAAAATGCATTGAAGTGTCTGACTAAAGTGTGGAGAAAAGATGGATGTAAATCTCTGTCATGAGTAGAGTACAATTCATTTTACCAGCAGAGGCCTGTTTGCCCTTTGAACCATCACTCTCTTTAGTTGCCTGCAAGCCTGGGGTGGTCCCTGACAACACAAGAGGTCTGTTCAGCAGCTGCAGTGATAGTAGCATTGGTCACTGCCTGGCCAGAAATATCTGCAGTATTCACATGTCCCCAGTGCATTTATCTCCTGTAGGCCTGTGGCATCACAGCTGGGGAATGGGAACTTGGGAAGCAAGTTACAGTTTTCACTTGCAGTGCAGTTGTACAGTTTTCCTTACTATTTTAAGACATCCAAATTCCTGATGCTTTTCCATTATAGCACCCCTGTGAGATAGGGAAATACTATGCTTTTCACACTGCTGGTGGGAAAGAAAGCAGGGAATGCTAAAATAATATTGCTGAGTTTACTTAGGCAAAGTAAGGTCTCAAATCCACATTTATGAAATCCAGGTTTAGTGATTATTGGATGTTATTGCTACAAAATACTGTGCCTTATGAAAACTCCCCTACCCAGCTGCAAAGGTGTTCAGAGGAGATCCAAGCCTTTGCATGTGTGAAGAACTTGTCCATGGATTTAAATTCTAATAGCTGTGAAAAAGCTAAAAAGTTAATTTTCCACATTAGGTTGTTTGAGAATTTATTCATATGTCTCAGGAAAAGACATCTCTTGCTTAGAAGGCAAGGATGATAAATTTCCATTGAGAGTTATTAAAAATTGTGAACAAATGAAAAAAAAAATGTTAGAAACTAGTCTAGAAATCAATCTTAATTAGAACACTTGATTTATAAATAGTAAACTTTCCTGCATATACTATAAAATTCTGGTAAAATAAGCCAGTAACATTTTTCACAGCAGTGAAAATTGGTAGATGTTTATTTCAAGAAAAGGAGGTCAAATGCTGCCCACACCATAATTAAGCAAAGTTTGTAATTATGTGTTCCTTATCATAGCTCACTTATTATCCGGGATCTTCCATAACTGCATGTTGTTATACACAAATGGTAAACTCAAGGCTTAACATCTCATGCCTGATTTGCAGGTGAAGATTTCTCATTTACTTAGCAATCCAATACAGCCAGAACAGACTTCTAAATTTGCATGTGACAAAGAGCACTGATTTTGATGAAAGATTTCAGTCCTGATTTTGTAAAACAGTCCCTAGAGCTCATGAGCTGAGAACAGAATTTATTCTGAGTTTGATTTTGGAGTGAATTTCTAATCACATTAGCTATAAAGAAGGCCTTTTAATTTCACAGTCCCTGGGAAAGTGAAACTTGAGTAAGCCGAAAGCATTGTGAAACAACTTCTGGTAAACATCTGGTGTAGATAGTCTTGGACTATCTACACTGAGGTGGTTGAGCTGTAATTATATCTCTTTCTTAAGATGTGCTTCCAAAGATGGCTGCTCATAATTGAGATACAGTTTATATGCCAGTTTTGCTGAACACAGATACGAATACCAGTCTTATTTGCACTGCTTCTTAAAATGTTAAGTAGAGATAGCAAGACAGACTGTTTGGAAAGCAGTTAAGTTCCAGTATTATGAAAGATCTGTGGTATGAGGTTGATTCTGCTGTGCTCTCTTAAAGAGTGCTACTCAATGTAGTGTCGTGTTCTACATAGTGCTCTTCCTGGTATGTATTTTAACACTGAGTAAGTGAGTCCATGACTGTAGTTTGTGATATGTTTGAGACTTCTCCAATGGGAAGTATCTGGAAAGTGCTGTTGTACAGCCATTCTTGACAGTAAACTGGTTCAGTGTTTTGGGTGAACCTAGGCTGTCAGGATGAGAGTGTATCAACTGAGTCTGCAGTGTGGAGTGAAAAATACAACTGGTGTTTCTGCAGGAAGAAGGGCTTTAAGCAAAGCTCAAGATTTCAACATGATGTCAGGACTGTTGAAAACATACAAACCTGTGAGAGCAGTTCGTTGCACAGCCCTGGCAGCCAGATTCAGAGAGGTTTGGACTAGCTGTCCCTTGTTTGAAATCAGAACCTCTCTTATGTTATTGTTTTTGGAAGTGGGGAAGGAAATCTTTCGTTACTGCATTTCAAGGATAAGATAGGACACTAGCAGACATTGCACCTTGATAATTTCTCTACTATATTCAGTAGCTTCTCCGAAGAAATCTGGGTAGACCTGTGGCTTTATGTGTTGATGGGAAGTAGTTTACATCAGGTTGTCATTAGGCTGTGAAAATCTATTAATTTTGAAATAACAGAACTAAAACAGAAGTAGTTAAAAAAGAGTTTATTTCAGAGTACCAAACCAGAATTGCTACGATAAACTCTTCCCAGAGAAAACATCTTGTATTTTTTGCCCCTGTAATCTTTTCTCCCCTAAAGAACAGGTATAGTATTGACTAGAGGGAAAAGAACCTTCCATTGAGTTAGCAGAGGTATTTGGTGCAGAAGTCAGGAAAGCATATCCATGCATGGCTGCATCTGCAGCCATGCTCCTGGTACGCCTGTGATGGGATTTCTTAGGAGAATATAGAATAACTGCATGTTTTGATTCACTGAGCATTTATAGCCTTCTAGACTCAAAATCTTTCTTAAGTAAAAGAAGAACATCAAGTGTTGTGCTAGTGAGAATTAGAATGGGAAAGGCAAAGAGCTTTTGACAGTGACATGTCAAGGGACCTTCTGTCTAATGAAGTCTTAAAGAAACTTTCACAACAGGCAGAGACCTGAAGCACTGGCCACTGCCAGGAGAAACACAGGATTTTGGTCTCACCTTGTAATTACTACTTTCTTTTTTTTTTTTGTCTATAGTGTTTTGGTCCATTGGATTAGCTGCTGTATTAACACCTTGAACAGGCCTGTTCATCTGACTTAGGTGGATCAATGTAGACTTTTTCCAGTTAAAACATGCAAACTGTTTGAGTGCTAGAAACTCAGGCAATTTTTGCAATAACAGGTAGTGAGATGTGAGAGCAACAGATTTTAGACTGAAAGTTTATGCTAGGGATATAGCATAAGGAGTTTTATTCTATTCGTGTATATCATAGAAACAGAGGTCACACCCTTAGTTAACTTCATACTCATACTCTCCACCTTTTCTCTCAAAATGTCCCATTAAGCTTAACTGCTTTGCAAGAACATCCTTTGATCCTTACTTATCTATTAAAACAAACCCAAAACAGTTTTTTGAATCCCACTCTATTGGTAAGAAACTGGAGGAACTTGGAAGCACTTTTACGCATTAAAATCCTATTCTTACATCTATATAGATAAATATAAAACTTTCCCAGCTAGGAGCCACCCCCTCCTCCCCCCAGAAAAACCCAAAAACAAAACAACAAAACACTACCAACAACTACATGGAAATAATAACAACCATTATGTGAAACAGGGCAGTTCACTCCATATTGAACCGAACTCTTTCATTGCTCATAGATAAAACTCCCAAACATTATTTCTGTGAAGTAACACAGGATAAATAATATACCTGAACATTAAGGATATCCTTCTAAATTAACTTGATTTGTCACCAACTACATGAAGGAGTTTTGTAACTGTTATGCCTGTATTTGCTTATTCAGTATTCTATTTAAATTGTTTAAATTGTTAAACTACTTTCAATATAACACTTTGTTAATTTGATCACTTAAATTGATCCCTAAGCAGCAGATGATCTTCTGAAAATTTGGCTTTATACAGTATACAAGCAAAGAGCTTTTGTATTCTGTAAGAACTTGAACTTGTACTTTTCCCTACTATAAAGGTTGTCCCTGTCTGTTTTGAGGAAAAATATCACACAGCAGCTGATGCAGAAGAGATTTTCATGTCAGCTGATCTGAACCAGAGTTATTGTGAACCTCCTATGATCCTAAACCTGAGGAAGTTCTACCCACATCAATTAATGCCATTTACATGAGCAGGTTTCAATTCTCATTTTCCTTATTTATTAACAGAGAAACTGTCAGAGTACAACAGAGTATTGGTCATTTAATGGGGAACCAGAAAATAATGAGAAACTTACGGCTGGTGCATTATTTTGAACCGGCTCAGCTCATAATCTGATATATTCTAAAAAGAGAGAAAATAGGTTTTGTATTTTAAATCAATATAATCAAGACAAATTAAGTGAATTTCATGACATTTTTAATAGGGAACTAAGCAAAAACCTAAAAAATAGTTTTTAGTTTTGAAGCTACATGGTTGTCTCATCTTGGTTAATGCTTAACTTTTTATTACTGGCCTGTTGTAACATTTCTGGAAGGCTGGTAGCACACACTACATTGTTAAACTGGAATGCAACTGGGCATGAGGCCGATTAAATTACACTGGTTAATGAATCATTCAAAAAAGTGATAAGCAAGCCATTTTACACGGTCTCTTTCCAGCTCCACCACAGAATTTCTTCGGGTTTTTTTACTGAAGTCAGCAGACCAGTATAACAATGGGCGAGTAGAAGATTACTTTAACAATGGTTTGGAGACTATTAACTCCCAGTTAGGTTTGTGTAGCTCCATATACCTTTCACTCAACGTGCGAAAGTCCACGCATCACACTAAAGCAGTAGAAGTACTTCCAATGACCAAGCTAGTGCACAGCTTGCAGCTGAACTTCTTAAGTCAGGGTTTTAAGCTGGTCTAAATGAAACCTTTTCTGCATCTATGTATTTTCCTTTAGTGCAAAATTTCCAGCAAAATCTCTGGATTGTACTCAGAGCAAGTGTGTGATTGCATGGTTTCAGTCCAGAAACCTGCTAATACTACAATCCCCTCTTTCTCAGCATAGATTTCAACAGGAGATAGGGCAGGCTGAAAATACATCCATTTAATCGATACAATTCTAACCCTCCTTCTGGTTTTGACAGGAAGAGGAAATTAATTTGCCTTTCCCCCCCACAAAACTTCCTAAGCACACCTATAATAGATGTGAAAACTCTGAAACAAATACTTTCCAGTGACTTTAGTGCTGCTGAGTTTATCGTAATATGACTGATGTTTGGCCAGCCCTAGCTGTTTTTCTGAATAATCCCCCAGCTATCAGACCCATTCCAAACTGTTTTGCCTTTTCTCTCATCACCTCATCAGCATGATAGATGAGTTTTTTATCAGGTATACAAAAGGAGACACTAATAACAAGCCAATGAGACAAGGAGATCAAGTGGAGTACATGCAAGATCTCAGAGAAAGCAGATTTCCTCGGTCTGTATTTAAGTTCAGATGAATCTGTGCATACTTTGTTACATTTGTTGGGAAAATATGCCATTTCAGACAGCAGAGAACCCCCTACATTTAATACTTAGCCTGTAATTATACTGGAACAAAAAGCAGCTGCATATCTTCATCCAGTGGGTATGGTAATTAGCAGGTGATTGAGCAGATCTAGAAATCACCAAATTCCTGAGGAAATCTAAAAGTATATTGAGCTGTCTGATTGACATAGGCCATCTGGGCTGTTCAGACTTTGTCAACTGTAATGATGACTCACCAAAAATGCCTCTGCAGGTCAATGATCAGAAATATTCCGGCCATTTCCTCCCCTGTTTCTGCACCTTTTAAGTAAGAGGAGGAGGCACTTAAGCTCTTTGTTGTAAGGATTCGACTCTTATTTGTTCCTTTTTCTGTGTAAAATAGAATATTGAAACCTTAACTAGCCTGTATTAAAGTTGCTGAGGTATAATTGCTTGGTGATTGCAGCCAAATAGCTTGTGTAATTCTCTCTGCCTTTCAAGCTGATGTTCGCCGGAATGTTCTGCTTAAGCAGCACTCTGCCGTAAGCAGCTATTTCCACACAGGCAAATGCTGTGTTGCATGGTCAGATCAAGCACTTTTTAAAATAGCAATTGAGCTTGGTAGAGGAGGAAGCTAAGGATCTAAGCACTTCTTGTACTTGTGAATGTTTTATAGAGAGAGTTTTAATTTGATTCTTTCTTTTTTTTTTTTCTTCTCCAAAACTGTCCTCAGTAAGGGGATTAAGCTACAAGCTTCCCTGAGGTTCGAGGAGATTGCCGTCTATGGGTCCAGCTGAAAGCTCTCTTTCCGTATTTTTATGTTTTTTTGTTGTTGTTGTTGTTGTTGTTTGTTTTCCTTTTATTTTTATTTTGCTTTCCAGTAAATTGAACCATTGATTGCAACTAGGAGTTGCTGTTGCATTTTATCAACAAAGTTCTGGCCTAAGGAAAGAATACAGAAATATCCTGCAAACTCAACGCCTTTAAAATTACATGGCAGCTTCTGTAACATGACTAATTTTTCCAGGTTCTAATTATCCATTGCTCCTGTTGTTGCTTTTGATGTATGTTGTTAGTGATTCATATTGGTGTGAATGGAATATATTGCAAATTAATATGCGTGATAAAGAAGCTACAGTATTTTTTTTTTTTTCTGAAGGGATTTGAGCTGCTAAATACGCAATGGGGGACTAAGGGGACATACTGCGTTTCTTGTTTTTTTCTTTTTTTTCTTTATATTTACAGTTTCAGGTTAGAGTGTGATTTAGAAAGCATATAAAAATTATGTTCTCTTCAAACCTGCTATTGATTTTTTCTTTTCTACTGGCTGCTTCATTCACCTGACATCAGTGTTTTCAGTAGCTCACTTAGCTCAGTAGCTAAGAGTAATCAAAACTCCTAGCTTGCAGATCAAACCAGCCACCTTCATTCTGCAGATAGCATCATGGAAGGGAAGAAACGCTGCAGTACTGCAAATGTTTGAGGTGTGTCTCTTGCTCCTTTACTCACAGAAGCGTGTCTTGGATCTGAGCCTATCCTGCTGTAGCTGCTTGCCAACATTGGTGCTGACAAAGGGGAAGCCTTACATCAAAAGCAAAGAGAAGCCAAATTTCTGTACGAGCTGGAGCTGCAGACCTGTAAGTAGGTTTTATGCACTTTTGACTGGAAGAGTTTAGACTGACTCATGCACGTGGACTGTGAAGTAGACACACAGTGAACTGGCATGTCTGAGGTGCTCTAGTTCTGTGCACATGATTCACAGGCGGTCAGCACATGTGCAAGTGGCTTACATGCCTTAGCTGGGTGGGATTTATGGCATCTTGCAGATCTGGGGACATATAGAAGATGACTGGTAGGTTGATAAGGGATAAATAGCATGTAAGTGACTCCTGGTTTGAGAAAACAACAAATATGGTAGGAAGGTAAAGAGAAATTGGCTCTGACATGGGATAAAATATTATAACATTGTGAAGCATATATGGCATGTTCACCTGCCCCAGTCTTAGCACTTCTCTAAGGAAGGTTTCTATATCATAAACATGGCTGTCAGAAGGCATGGGGTTTGGCCATATAGATTTGCTTTAGAGATTTTTTTGCCATGTTTTCACAGTTCCTAGCTGAGGTTGTGCTAAGGGGTATTTTTAACAGTTATTGCCTCAAAAAAGATTTCATATGTCTTTGAAGAAGGTTGTTGGTACAGTTGATCATATGATACAGTCTTTTCAGCCATATTTTGTAGCTCACAGAAGCACATCTGTTTCTTCCTTACTTTTCAGCCCCTTCTTGTAGGTAAGCACCTGTACAAAATGGTTATGGCTGCCAGATGCAAATAATACCCTAAACAATCCAGGAACGCTGTGAAGGATCAGTAGGAGCTTGAAGAGGTCAAATTTTGGTGTGAAAGAGGATGAGAGGATTCATTTAAATTTATGATAAATATACGGTGTTGCTAGGTAAGCTATCAATATCTGGGCAGTAAAGGTGCATGTAAGATGACGGTATTATTACTTCACAATAATGCTGAGTTATATTCTGTAGCACAGCCAGTTCTGAGATTTGACCAGTTTCGAGATGTCTGGGGAGGGGGGCAGAATAAAGACCCAATTTTACTTGATATAAAACAATTTAAAGGTTGTTATGTGAAAATAAATGCATAATAGAAAAGCTCTGTATTCAGTATGACCAAGTTTGTTAAGACCTGTTATGTTCATGGAACCTGGTATTGACAAAGAAGCCAGGATCAGGAGGAACCTACAGCTATGTTTTTTGCTTCCAAAAGACAGAAATTTGGAGTGTAAATAAGAATGGTCTACAGTTAGGCAGTCGATAGGAATAAAAATCTGAAAAATCATAGAATTGTACTAAGCCATGTTAATGATATGTTTTATTAAGTGGCATAGTAGACTGTCTGTATTTAGGAGAAGATACAGCATTTCTTAGTAAAAATGTCCTTACGGAATATAAAAATATCTGTGTGGAATAAGAATAAGATCTCAATGCTGGCCTCTAGAAATACAGCGCAAGCTATAGACTTGTGATATCTGGCAGATAGTGTCAGAGTGTCCCAGACTGAGTAAATAATGGAATTAATGCATAGTGGAAAATTTTATGTGTTTTTTTTGTTTGTTCGATTGATTTTTGTATAAAGCAGAACTCTGCCCCATGGGGGTTGGAAAAAAAAGCAGGTGACAAGAAGGTAAATAATGTGTGGAATGCTTAAAATTAAAAGTTGGAGCAGCAGAAATGGAATAAAAAAGAAATATGTTTCTACTGTGAGCAGAGATTACTATTTTTAGGATATTTATCCATTTTGAAGTGTATCAAACTGACATCTAGTGGTAGCAAGAGCACTTTTTGTGCAAAACAGTTTTATAGTGAGACCAGTTTGCATAGCAGATTAACAGGTTATAACTGCATTATATATTAGATTTTTGATTCTCTGTACTTTACCCTAACTCAAATCCAATTTCTTTGTTTTACAGAGCCTTTCAATTACACCTTTCTCCTTTTACTAATACCTGATTGATATAATTCAAGTTGGTGGTGTCTGTTCATCTTTACAAATGCATGGACTCCTGCTAAAGAAGTGTCATTCTGATGAATAGTTTCATTAGAGAGGAAAAGGTTGGAAGGAGCATTAGGAATAAAATATTCCCATCCAGAAAGCTGAGCGTAAGGGTTAAAGAATCTCTGCAGGGTCACCAATAAAATTGTTCAGCAGTGAATTTTAGACCTGTTATGAATAAACAGAAGTCAGACTTCAGAGCTGTGATGCATGTCTCAGGTGTGGCATTATTCACAAGTGTAAGCTTCTCTGGGAGAGGAAGCAGGACTTTATGACCAAAACTGAAATCTCATGTGACCTGAGGCAAGATGTGTGGGATCTGTATCAATGGAGCATACAGGCATGTACTTAAGTCATTCCCAGTGAAAGCAAGAAGGGTTCATTTGCTGGGGTCTGTGCTTAACTGGTTTTCTGAGTCATGGGTGGTATCCTCATTTTTCATCCATATTATTATTCAAATAGTATTTTGAAAAATATTTTTCTTACCTATATTCTTCCACATTTTTTCTATCTTATTCTGGTTTTGGTGTCTTTGAAGAAAAAGCCCTTGCTAAAACTCTGCATGATAACTACCCCAATGAGACTTTAATTTAGCTTTGCCTCCAGTACCATTATATACACAATAGGCTAATTGCTAATAAAGAGGAGAAAAAGAACAAAGCTGCTAAAAAAAGAAATATTATTTAAAAATAAAATATAGCTCAGGGGTACCGTATCTATGGTCAAAGGATGCAACTTAAAATGAACATAGAAATATTTAAAAGCACTATTCAAATCTGTATTCCAGATAATAAGTGAAAGAGATCGGCAACAGAAGGATGGGTGAAGACAAAGGCAAATCTGAAGGAAGAAGGAAAGGAAATATGCTTCAATGAAAGTCTGATTAAGAGTGGGCAAAAATAAAAATCAGTTAATTTTTTTTTTTTTTTCAGGGTTGGCAGTTTGTGGTGGGAATTGTCAACCTATTTTGGTCATTTTTTTGCTTGTAAATGTTTATTTTACAGTCTTCTTGGTTCATAATAACTGTTTCAGATATCTCAGAGGTAACAAATGTTGGTAAAATAATTCTAGTGAAACATAGCTCTCTGCAGTTTCAAGGCTGAGGTGAATCATGCTATGCTGCCTCTGTCATTATGTCTCTGTTACTTTCAAAACCTGGTGAATCATATTTGTTGAACACAAATGTTGATATTCTGCAATGAAACTAAAGCCATAGTAACAGAAGTGGCATAAGAAACAGCTGCTGTCATTTCAGATAGGTGAGCCTACTGCTTTAACCTGAAAGCAGAGATGAGCAGAAATCCTGTTTGTCACAGAGCTGCTCTGTAAGGACTAGATTAAGAGTTGCACCAGCCAGAACTAGATGATACAGTTTTATCTAACCTGAAGCTGATAATCCAGTGCCGGTGCTTAACAATTCTAATACACTTCTGACCTTTTGGGACTGAATGTGAGAGCGGTTGCAATGACACGAGGCCAATTGTTGTGTGCAGAGTCACTCTGGCTTTGCACTTACTGAGGCTTTTCCTTACTGCTTGGACCCCTATGCTTTTCCAGAGTAGTGAAAACATTAAGGATAAGTCATGCTAGTAGTGCCAGAATTGTTGATACAAATATCAATAAAACCTCACAAAGTACAAATGAATTTGTGTTGGGAGCAGTGTTGGTAGTTAGAGGAATACATGTGGGAATTGCTTGTAAATAGAACTGTGGGGATGAGATTCTTTGTCAGCCGTCAGGAAGTGCTGCTGGTATTTGTCCTCAGACATGGTTTAGTTAAACAAAACTGCTTGTCTAATGTGTTACTAAGAGCTGTGTTCATGTTACAGGGGTTTGAAATCCAGATGTCCATCATGCTGGAAAGAACAGTAGAGTATTTTACATTTTTTAGGACAATTAAGTTTATTTTAGTACTGTTGATGGACATCTCTTTGTTGTGTTGAGTGAAAAACAGTATTTTAATGCATGATTTGATTAGGTTTGCACTACATTGTACTACTTTATGGTTTTGAGAGAACTCCAAGGCTGAGGAGCCTGTGCTGCTTATTCTTCCACATTTATTTAACTGCTGAGATGTCAGAAAGTTGACTTTTTTTTTTTTTTTAAGAAAGATATTTTCCTGCAGCAGTAGCTCAGTGAGTCCTTGTGGTTTATCTTGAGGAAGCTGCCTTTTGCAATAGTGCACACATTTAAGGTTAACCAGTTTTTGCTTTGAAAGAGCTCCAATGCAAGATTAAACTAGTTGATCTTTTGTTCTCATATATGCTATGAGTGGGTTTGCCTATGATTTATTTGTTTATGACCTAGGATGTCCAGCCCATTCTATACCCCAGGAGCTAATCTTTCACACTTGGATAGCCAAGACTTTTTTGGAACATGTTGTATTCAATCTTGAATGCTGAAAGAAAGCTGTCTGTAGAAATAGTCTTGATTTAAGACAGTAAAGCTTGATCTGCAACATAAATCTTTTTAGTGCACACAATGGGAAAATTCATGTTGTTTTTCCTAGAACATGAGTGTCCCAATTAGTCTTAGGTTAACCTGATGAAGAGATGAGAGGTTTCCAGGGTTCTTTCAAAAACTATATTGTCTTTCTCAATAACAGTGTAACGATCTGTGGGCTGACCTCTATGTTTTCATGTAGTTGCAAGGACATTTACTGGAACACAGAAAATAAAACCATGTCCCATATTTTTATAGTAATGCACTGCTATATGCTTAGGCAAATTAAAATGGGTTTTAGTGTTTGAAAAAGGAAGCAAGTCACCATAGACAGAAATAATAACTATGACTACTAGAAATTTAGCCTCAGCAAAAAATAGCAGAGCCTGCTGATGATGTGGGCTGCAAGATTAGGAAGTCTTATTTCTTTTTTTGAGAAAATAGAATTCATAAGAGCCAGCTGAAAGTCTTCTAGCAGAACCATCTATCTCTAAAAATGCTTCAGCAATTAAAACATTGTTTTGCAGGACTGCTTTCACTTCATCATGATTAAGAGTCTATAAAACATTTTGGGAAAGTTTAATCAATTTATTTTGATGTTTTTAATATAAAGTAAAAGGCCCAAATGAGGCATGTTGGTGGTACTGCTTTAGGGGTTCCAAAGCATTTTATTTTTACTTTTATGGGAAACTTGCAACTGTTCATTCTGATTCAGAACAAAGGGCAATATTGAAGTGTCAGAAGTTCCAGTTTTGGCCACATTGAAGAATTAATGGCTTGGAAAATATTTCTACTCTGTAGTCAAGATACCAGTGACCCAAGATCTCCAAGAAATAGGACATTCTGCAGAAGTGTCTTCAGCATGGGGCTCTGCTGGAAGCAAAACGGATGCTTTAGGAGCTGACCTTTCCCCAGGACTCAGCCCAAGGTGGGAATGCACTATGCTGTTGACCAGTTTTGGACCCAGTTTAATAGTGACATCTAAAAGGATTTACTCTGTCAGCTGCTTCTAATAACCTTGCCCTTTGTCTGAGTCAGCTGCTGCTTCTAGCTACCTGAATCCTTTTCCAATAACTGCATGCAGGTGAATTGGGTCAAGTGGTGCCCTTCTGTGTCTAGCTTATTAAAACAATACTGTTGTGAAAACAAAGACTCTTCCTTGGCCATGTGGTTGTGTGCAGTTTCTTTCTAGCTCATCTTCTCCTACTACATCTGTTTTTGCTACCTGGTATTACCTTAAGTGAACAGACCTCTCCACCATGGATGGTCTTCCAGGCTCTTACTGAGGTGAGAGAAGGGGGGCTCCTCCAGGATCCTCTCTACCTCTTACAGCATCTCTTGCCTCTAGATAACCTAAGCAAGTTTTATGGTAATTACCTCGTATCTTATTTCTAAGGGGGGTGTGTGTTTGATAAGACACAGCTAGCAGGGAGCCCTTCTGGTGCTCGCTTTCTGATGCCAGCAAGGTGTCACCAGGCAGGGCTGGGGGGAAGGAGCATGAGGCACCTGAACATCACAGTGGTTGTAGCTACTAAAAGGGCCGTACCTGCTCTTTCGCTTCTCCCTCCACTCCTGCCTTGGAGGAGTCTCTCCCATTCCTGTGCTTCTCTGATGCTTCTGTGAATTGAACCATCTGTAAATTAAACAAGGGAGTTCCCTTGAACCAAGGGTAGCTTCTGGTGAGAAAGAGAGGGATGGGAGGAAGAAAATTATTGGTGAGGAGACCCACCACCATCCCTGGCAGCATATTTTTCAGTTGTCTGGGTTTCTGTGAAATCTTATACTGAAGCTGTATTCCACAGCTGCTTTAAACCTCCTGGAAAGGTGTATGCTCTGGGCACTGTGCCTCCTCTACCTTCTCCTCGCTGTCACCAGCAGTTTTATGAGAAGCTGGATTAAAGACAAGGTATGTCTGAAAAATCACCGTACTAAAAATACCCTGAAGTTTTGATGTTCATAGAAGCTTGACACTCTGTCTTTGTGCCCAAATCACAACCAGTGCTAGCAAAAGAGCGTGTCTAATGGGAACATGGAAGGGGAAACATTTCCGCTTTGCCCAGGTATGAAATGGTGCCTTCAGTTAATCTAATTTTCTTACTGGGGGAGCAGAGGGAGGCAAGGATTAAAATGGTATTGGTGGCGGTATTTTCAGTATTTGAATATTGACTTAGTAGGAAGATTATTGTCTTGGCATGATGGAAGAGGCTGTCTCTGTGGACGATGCTCTGTGCACTGCACTGAAAAACAAAAGTCCTCTCTATTTTCTGCGAATTAAGAGTTTCCGTCCTCCTCTCATGAGGGAGGCTGAAAATGACAACAGGAAATAGTACAGCAGGAGTCAAATCTCAGGTCACTAACAGGCAAGTCTAGCAAGGACCCTTGTTACTTGGGGAAAGTAACCATCATCCTAGTTAAATGCTGCTATCCAGGACAAATAATTGAATACAGAGGCTCCACAGGTCTCTCAGACTATTGGGAGCAATGAAAGCAATCTTGGAGAATCCCAGAAAGTGAGGGACTTCAGGCCTTCAGCTCTCTCCTGCTGGCCAGGGGCCTGGGAACTGTGCAGAAGTGCTCCCTGCTGACACTTCCTGCAGAAGCAGCTGCCTTCTGCTTTCCTGCATCTGGACAAAACCAATAATTATAACAAGGGCTGGGAAACAGCTGAACCTGAAAAGACTGTACAGAAGGGATGTGAGAATTGTTTCTCCACTCAGAACAAATACTATGGCAGAAGCATAGTATTAGCAATCTTAAAACTGCAACAGCAGTCTTAAAACTAAAGCCTATGTGTGAGAGTATTCTTGAAATATTAAGAAGGATCATATGCATAGTTATAAGTACATTAAATTTCATCACAGGAATGAGAAGTAGCTAATCTTAATGTTAAGAATAAATGCCCTTGTGGAATTATAAAACAAGTGTGACTGTACATGCCTGGCAGCTCCAAATGCTGTGATAGCTGGCCACATTCTATTTGGAAATAAACCTCATTCATAAGCTCCTTGCACATTTACATTGAAGTAACAATATTGTATGCCCATGCAGAAATCTGCTGAGCTACTTAACTTTTGAAAGTATCCCCCGGATAGTGGGATAGATTTGATGTACCTTCCTTGATATTGCTCTATATTTTTGAAGTAGTGATTTAGTTCCACTGTTCAGCTTCATTTTAATAACAACAGTGGTTATAGCTATCTGGTGTAGATACTCTTTATAAAGTCACAAAAGTGTGGTGTATGTATAACTGTAGGCATCTTGAAAATGAGTAGTTGGTTAGCTTGAATCATATTAACTCTGCCACAGTAAGCAACAACACTAATAGTGAGTAATCACTGAGTTCATCAGCAAGAGCATGGCTGCTGCCTTTCAGTGGCCAAAATAACTTTGTGAAAAGATAGACCTTAAGGTGTTGTCAGGTCACTACAAATAAGAGAAGGAACACCATATACAGCTGTAGTGATTTAGGTAAGCAGCAGTGTTATCAAGGTTCAATACAATGAAGATGCCTTACTGTAAAACACATATGCTAGATCTAAGTTGTTTTAAGAACTCGGCTTTCATGACTGTTGCATGTTGAAGAGACCAGTTGCTGATACTGCTGACTGAAACAAAAGAAACTATTACAGCCACCAGAGAAAGGCACATGTCAGTAGATGTCTCCATTCAAAGCATAAACCTCATCCATGTTGGGGCCACAGCATTGTAAGTGTGGATGAGGACTTCCAAGAAGGGGTGGGAGACGTGTAGCATAGAGTGTTAACCTCTCTCGTACTTTGTGATGCTATGTAGAGTGCTGCTTAGTGGTTTATGGCTGGGGCAGCCCCAAATCTTGAGAGCCACCTCTTAATGGGGCAAAGTCAAAGACTAGTAGAGTATTAATCAATGCTTATCAGTGACACAAAGAGCTCCAGAAATTTTCTTGGTAAGTACTTGGCTACAAAGAGGTTAAAGATGTTTGATATAAACTTCTGCTTTAATTGTTCCAATTTGGAAATTAGAAAGCCTGTAAATGTAACACTCCCCCCCCCCCCCCCCCCAACATCCCCTGCCTTCTGGGATGTCATTAGATCTGTTAGTGTGCATAAATGGTTTAATTAAAATCTTTTCTGGTCCAGTGCAATAAACAATATCTTCTGTCAGTGCAACATGTCTGATGCTAATGATGCTTCTGGATGATAGATTGTCGTGGGGATAGCTACAAAGGTAAAGAGTAACTTAATTTGAGAGATTTGATTTCCTTTTACTTTAGCTATCATGAGCGGAACAGATAATGCCAGTTAGAAAGAAGCAAAGGAAAATGTGCTTTGAATGTTTTAATCTCCTTTGTTCTTATATGGAAATTTAACAGTATTGTGACCCATTTGTCAAGTGATGTCTATCAATCTATTGCATGTTGCATTTCAGTAGGAAAAAGGAGATCTCATTAGGTTAAATTAGTTGCTAGTGTTTATGTGCATGTGTGTTTCTCTGCAGAAAATTGGTACGTAAATGAATACAGTATTTCTGGTTTTCCTACTTCTGTGTTGCTGCTTGGTTTTTATACTCAGATGCTCATTTATTTGAATTTCATGCTGGATCTGAGTACTTATTCAAGGTCCTGAGACACACAGTTTGTACCTCATTCTTTTCCCTCTCAGCACTTTGAATCTTCAAGTGTGTAAGTATCAGTCCTTTAACACTTGGCATTAGCAAGTGAAGTTCATATCTGTATGGGAAGTTCTCAAATCTTCTAAATATTCCAACTGTATAATCCTGCTCTTAGTATGTTCTGCATTAATTTTATAGCATTAGATACTGTTCAGGAGTGGATATGAAAAAGATTTCCTTTTGGCTCTTTCTTTAAGTGACCAGAATTACTTTTGAATAGGCAATTAAAAACCAGGTTATAGAAATGATGCCAAGTGTCACTGAAATTACTCTTCCACTATATAAAAGCATACATTAACTTCTTTCAGA